GCTGTTTTGGGTCATGAGTTATACTGATTATTGTTTATTATGGGTCATAGGTATGCCAATTATTGTTTAAAATAAAGGTTGACACGGTTTTTACTTTGAACTCTAATGTATAAAACTGTAATTTTTGGAAATAGAAGAACAGAGCAGTCTTGAAAAGGCTACTCTCACTGTTCTCCAGAATTCTGGCAAATAAAGTGTGGTAGACCTATCCCGGTCTCCGCATATTGGTTGACAGTAATAGGTGACCAGACCCTCTTCATCCAGGAACATTCCTGGCCATGAAGGGAACCCTAGACTGCTCTGGTAAGTCCTGTACCAGGGAAGCCTAGCAGTTGTCTGGACAGGTGGGCCCTGGGGGTGCAGTGCTTGAATACTCCTAGCAGCACTGCCTGGAGATTTCTCCTGGGAGTTTTGGGGCTCTGCTCTCATGCACTCGCCCTCGCTGACCACTGAGGTCCACCTGCTTTATTCTGGTTGTGTGCTGAGAACTTTAGTTCTCATCAGTTCTGGTTTCACTCTTGAGAAATCTGCTATTTCTGTCTGTATCTGATCAGTTTATGGCAGCTCAGGCCTCAATAACAAATGGTAGCCCACTGGGGTGTATTCTGTCTAATTGGTCTCAGTATGGGTACCTGCCTATGATTGAAAAGACAATGACATTTTACTGTAACATGGCCTGGCCAAAGTAGTATCTTGAATCCAGAGAAAAGTGGCCTGTAAATGGATCCTTAAATTATTATATCATCCTACAGTTGCAGCGCTTTGTCAAAGATCAGGGAAATGGGGTGAAATCCCCTATGTACAAGCCTTCATGACCTTGCATAATAAGAAGCTGATTCTAAGAATAATCCGCTTATGGTACTAAAGGAAGTAAAACCAGAAACAAAGGGAGAGCGGGGGTGGGGGCGGTGGGGGGGGGGAGAATCAAAAGATGGTGTTAATGTTCAGGTGGAGCAGGACGTTTTAGAGGAGGGTGCAGTGTCTGCTTCCAGAGGACTCAGGACACCAAGTGCTCTGGCACCAGACAAAGAGGAGCTTGCTCCTCCTCACTCTGCTGAAGGAAGTTTGGAAGTGGTCTCCCCACCTCACACCTGCCAGGGGATTTGATTCAGTCAGAGGACCCAAGGAGGTAAGGCGGGGCAATACCCTCTGTGCCAAATGCCAGTGGGAATAAATCAGCAGGGCCAGCCTGCTGGACACTATTGGACCATATGCCTTTCTCCACCTCTGATCTGTTAAACTGGAAAAATACCAACCGCCTTACCATTCGGATCCTGTTAACGTGACTGAACTAATTACTATCTTTGCTACTCAACACCCCGATTGGGCAGATATACAGGCTCTTTTAAATCTAATTCTCACCAGTGATGAAAGGTGGCTGGTGCTGGATCAGGCAGGGGAAGAAGCTGCCGATTCCAGGATGAGGATGGGGAGATTACACCAGTGCCAGAGGAAGCTGTTCCGTTGACAGAGCCAGACTGGGATCCAAATAATGGTTGGTTGCCCCTCTTCCTTTCAACACAGAAAGGAGTTCCCAAGCAAAAGAGTCTAAACATGGTACAGGCTGTGCAGCAAAAAGCAACTGAGGACCCATCTGAGTTTCTGGGAGAATATGTGAGTACCCAGACATGGAATCTCAGGCTCCTGAAAATCAGTGAATGCTAAACCTGACTTTCATTTTTCAAAGTGCTCCAGTCCTGTGGAAGAAATTACAGAGCCTGGATGGGGCTGTAGGAATGAACACTTCTCAGCTGATAAGTCATTGTTTACAGGGTTTTCAACAATCAAGTGCATCAAAAAGCCCAGGCTGGTACTATTTTTCTTGAGATCACCAAAGATAAAAGGGGGAAGGGAAGGAGCCCCAGGAACAGGATCAACCAATCTTGATTAAGGAAAGCTAGTGTGCCTAGTGTAAGGAGGGAGGACACTGAAAAAACGAGTGCCCCCAAAACAAGAGAGCTGAGGAGTTGGGTCGCATGCCCAACTGTGAGATGGTCAAACTGGATGGCTCCGAGGATGACTGAGGGTGTCCACGACCTCAAATGGATTTTCTGTCCTGTATCACCATTGCCCCCCAAGAGTCTCAGGTATAAATAAGAGTAGGGGGAAAGACTGAACTTCCTGGTGGATGGGAACAACATTTTTAGTCCTCAATACCCCACTCTCTCCTCTGACAAAACAGTCCATTCTGGTGACAGGAGTGACTGGACAATTGGAACATAAGTTCTTCCTTAAACCTATTGAATGCTCAATTGGAGAAAAAAGAATGACCCACCGATTTCTGAATATGTCTGATTGTCTTGTTCCTTTGTTGGGAAGAGACTTGTTACCTAAACTAAATGCTCAGATGACTTTTATTCCAGAGAATCACAGCCTCCAGTTGGAGGTTCCAATGAGCACACTTGGCAGCTACTTCTCCAACAACCTGAAACTGAGACCCAATGGCCAAAAGAAGTCAACAAGCAGGTAAGCCCCTGGGTCTGGACTCACGAAACTCCTGGAAAGGCCCTCCGGGTCACTCCTGTGGAGGTCTGTCTGAAACCCAACATGCCACTTCCTTGAAAAGATCAATACCCACATAAATGAGAGACATTAAGAGGAGTAGCTCCTTTGATTAATAAGTTTAAAGCCTGTGGACTTATAAGGCCCTGTCAATCTCCTTGTAATACTCCCATAATGCCAGTGAAAGCCGGGAATGGAGGAATACAGGACCTGGGGGCAGTAAATGAGGTAGTGCAGGATATTCATCCCATGGTGCCGCTAACTCCCATGCCCTCTTAAATGACTTACCATCAAAGGTGACCTGGTTTTCAGTTTTGGATTAAGGGGACATTTTCTTTTGCATCCCACTGGGCTCCCAGTCTCAGGCACGATCCAGACACCCTTAAGAAGGAACAGTTATGCTGGGTGATGTTTCCCCCAGGCTTCAAAAACACACCCACTATTTTCAGGGAATCTGGCACAGGACTTGTTAGACCTTATATTAGAAGGTGGACAGATTCTCCAACATCTAGATGACTTGTTTGTCACTGGGCAGCAGTTTCAGGACTGTTTGTGTAACACTATCTTGACACTGAAATCACTTGGCAAACTGCACCTACAAAGTGTCTAAGAGAGTAGCCCAAATTTGCCAGCAGAAAGTAAAATTTCTTGGGTTTTTTTTTTTTGAGACTGAGTCTCAAGCTGTTGCCCTTGGTAGAGTGCTATGGCTTCACAGCTCACAGCAATCTCAAACTCTTGGGCTGAAGCGATTCTCTTGCCTCAGCCTCCCACGTAGTTAGGACTACAGGTGCCCACCACACTGCCTGGCTGTTTTTTGGTTGCAGTTGTCATTGTTTGGCAGGCCCAGTTCAGATTCAAACCTGCCAGCTCCCATGTACGTGGTTGGTGCCCTAGCCGCTGAGCTATAGGTGCCCAGCCTTCTTGGGTTCTTGATTGATCTGGGCAGTGCAGCCTACTTGGGAGCAGAAAAGACTTGATTTTACACATCACAAGACCCAATACAAGGAGACAGCTGAAGAGATTTCTGGGAATGGTGGGTTTTTGTAGGATCTGGATTCCAAATTACGGTCTCATTGTAAAGCCCTTGTATAAGGTCCTGAAGGGATCTGAGGAGGAGCCTCTGACCTGGACAAAGAATGTGAGGGAGACTTTGAACAGCTTGACCTGTTACTGACTGAGGCACCCACACTAGAACTGCCAGATCTGACAAAACCATTTGATTTGTGTGTTTATGAAAAACAAGGACTAAGGCTGCCATGCCTCCATCAGTTACTTATTTGTCTAAACAGTTCAACTTCACAGCCTCAGGCTGGCCAGTCTGCCTGAGGGCAGAAGTGAGCTTTTAAAATAGGCAAAGAAATTTACATTGGAGCAACTAGTCACAATGTACGTTCCCCAGCGGGTACACACAGCTGGATGGATGGAGGAATATCAGGCAATCCTCCTTGACAGTCTGGGAATGACTTTGGAATTAGTGGCCAAAGTCTACCACTCTTCTTCCTGACCCTAGCCAGGAGCCCTTAGACTATCAGTGCCTTGAAGTGATTGAACAGGTGTCTTCAAGCCACGCTGATCTTTCAGATTGCCCTTTTCAAGTAGATTGGACTTTGTAGATGGAAGCAGTTATGTGCAAAAAGGAACATGGAGAGCTAGCTATGCAATGATAACTATGCAAGAAATGAAACGAAAGCCCTTCCTCCAGGAACTTTAGGCCAGAAAGCTGAATTGATTGCACTAACAAGGGCTCTGGAGTTGTTGGCAGGTAAAGTGGCTAATATTTATATTGACTCAAAGTACTCCTGTTTAATCTTGCATGCACATGGATGGAGCCATCTGGAAAGAGAGAGGGCTGTTGACAACAGGAAAGAAGCAGATCAGAAATGCTCCAGAAGTCTTCACCTGTTGTAAGCCGCTTTGCTTTCCTGTAAAGGGGCAGTCATACACTGCCCAGGTCACCAGAGGGGACAGACTAGACTACAGAAGGAAACCGCTTAGCAGATTTGACAGCTAAGCAAGTTGCAAGGATGGAGGGATTGGCTCCTTTGATGCCCTCTGTGAACCTGGCAGAGTTCTGGGCCTCCTATGACAAAGCTAACCAAGAGTGGACAGAAAAAGAGGAATCCAAAAAGAAAGAGAGGGGTGGTTGATGGATGACCAGGGAAGAATCCCATTATGCCAGCGCATGGTACCTCAAACCCTCCAGTGAGTACATGAAATAACCCATTATGGGAAGGAGTCTCTGGCGGAATTCATCCGTTCATGGATAACAAGCAGACAACTTACCCAGATCATCAGAGAAATCACCTCCCAGTGTCTATTGTGCATGAAAAACAACGCAAAGACTGAGAACCAAGAAAGGAACCCACTACAACAATACCAACAGGCAGTCCTCTTTCATGATTGGTAGTTGGATTTTTCCCAAACCCCTCTTCCAAAGGCTTAAAGTATCTCTTAGTCCTTGTAGACACTTTCTCAGGCTGGGTGGAGGCATTTCCAGCCTGGACTGAGAGAGCAGCAGAGGTTATAAAGGAACTTCTGATAGAAATATTTCCTCAGTATGGGCTCCTGAAAAGCCTCCAGAGTGATAATGGACCCTCCTTCATCACTGAGGTAACTTGACAGGGAAGCAAGTTTTTAGGAATACAGCGGAGACTAAATACTGCATGGAGATCTCGGTCATCTGGGAAAGTGGGGAAGATGAATCACAGCTGAAGAAACATCTCGCCAAACTGTGTCAAGAAACCCATTTAGGGGTTAGGATCAGGTATTGCCCCTTGCCTTAGTCCAGGTCCAGGTAGCCCCTAGAACAGTGGTTCCCAACTTTCCCAATGCCACAGCCCTTTAAAACAGTTCCTGTGGGTCACAACCACAGGTTGAGAACCCCTGCCCTAGAAGCAGGCTTAAGTTAAGCCCTTGTGAAATTGTGTATGGGAGACCCTTCCAGGCAGTCTCAGTCCTAATTCCTTTTCAGGCAGAGTGTGATCTCAGGGTACAAAAGCACGTGCAGCACAGTCAACAGGTGTTGTCTTTAATCCATAAATTCTCTCTCCCCAGCTCTGCCCTGACCCCAACTGGAAATCTGCACCCCTTCCAGTCTGGAGACCAGGTCCTTCTCAAAATTTGGAGAAACGGGGCAGATGAGCAGTTACAGGGAAATGCACTGGCCCTTGGGATGTCCTGCTCACCACTCTTACCACAGTTAATCTGGCTAGATTAAAGACCAGGACTCATCACACCTGAGTGAAGCCTTACCTGTTGATGGACACAGCAGAACAGGATGTGGTGCCCAACAACTGAAAGACAGAACTGATCAAGATCAAGATTAAGACATGGCCACAAGACTCACTCTCTTCCTCTTCATAGCTCTTCTGATCTTGGGGACTTTGGGGAATGAATAAGACATGATACCCTTCCAATGGGATGAGAATATTTGGACTTAGTTGGCTAAGAATGTTATGAATGTATCTGATTTTTGTATAGCAGGTGGAACTCACATAGACCAGGTATTTACATCTTGTTTAATAGGAGTTTGTATTCCTTTAGAAATGTTCAGGAATTTCACTGTGTTCCACCACAGCCAAAGGAATCTCACCTGTCAGGATTTGTATGGGCATGGACTGCAAGATGGAGGAAGGAAAGGGATATATTTTCTATTTATCTTAAAATAGTTACACCTGGTGAAGATTGTGTAAATTCTTAGGATGCACCACCCCTGTGTCAATTTAACTAATAACTTGCTTCAATGTCATAAGACAACTACCGTATCTTGTGCCTATATACATACTAAAATCCCTAAGGGATGATTTTGGTATGTGGACAACAGGCCTTTTTTTATGTTCCAGCTAATACCACAGGAGGGCCTTGTTCTCTAGGGAGATTAGTACCATTCTTGCCCAGGGCACAGGACCTGAATAACACCTAATCTGGAAGGAAGTGGCAGGCCAGTTAATGTCCCAGGTTACTGGAATGATGTCCACCTCTTCAGCCCAGCTGAGTATTTTTCCTTGTCTCTATTTGTGATTCCAGCTATGGTAGTTAAGTTAAATATTGAGATGGGTAGGCTAGCTTGTGCCATGGTAAAAGCACTGAATGCCACCTCATGGCCATTAGTGCACTAAGCATAGAACTCCAACACATCTGAGAAGCTGTCTTAGAAAACCAAGCCGCCATTGATTATTTACTTCTGAGACATAATCACAGGTGTGCAGAATTTAAAGGAATGTGCTGTTTCAATTTAGCAGATAATTCTCGATTAATAGAACACCATATTCAATAGGTACAAAATATACTTCATGATATCACCCAAAGAGAAGGCTTTCCTGGTTTTAGTTTTAGTCAGTTATTTTCTTGGTTCCCTGATTCAGGTTGGTTGAGAGTCTTAGTCTTTGGAGTAGGGATTATTTTCTTTCTAGGAGTATTTGTGGATAGCTGCATCCAATGTACCCTGTGTTTCATGTCTACTTGTGCTACATGTTGGAATTACAGTTCCCCTGGGTATGATAAGGTTGACTCTTGTACTATGCAACTAATCACAATGATTATTTTCATTCAAAATCAACTTCAGAGATATGAAATGTAATAATGAGAGTTGGGAAATGAGAGCACCTGTGGTAGAAATAAGATGGAGCCGGCTAGGCTGGGGCCAACCTGGTCTCCTCAGTTTAGGTCACATGACCTTCACCTTGTGTGTCCCTTTCTTGTTTTGTAAATTCAGCTCTAACCTAAAAGTGCATATCTTGAGTCGCTTAGGGCAATTGATTTAAGAAATGAACTTCTAAATTAGAATGTTGTTTTGGGTCATGGGTTATGCTGTTATTGTTTATTATGGGTCATAGATTATGCTGATATTGTTTAAAATAGGAGTTAACACTGTTTTTACTTTGAACTTTAATGTATAAAACTTTAATTTTGGGGACTGGAAAAACACAGCAGTCTTGGAAATTCTGACTCCTCACGCTGTTCTCCAGAATCCTTGCCTTCTGACAAATAAAGTTTGGTGGACCTATTCCTGTCTCTGCATTTTGACTGACAGTGATTGGCGGCCAGATCCTCTGTGGTAACAGTGTTGAACTCTGGATTTTGGAGGGGTACAAGAGAGTTTTCTGTGCTGCTAGAGGGTCCTATTTCTTTTTCTTTCTATTTCTTTCATTCTTCTTTTTGAGATGCTATTCCTATAGGAAATATCAAAAACTTGTATAGCAGTAAAAGAAATGTATGGATGTAATTAATTTAAACTGGACATAAAAGTTTTATGTACTATTATGTAAATTCTATTTCCTAATGATAAAAAAACTATTTTCTAAAAGAAGGAGAACTAGTTTTTTAAAAGGAGGAAGTCTTCATATAGGTACTACTGATAGAGAACAATTACCAAAATATTAAAGAAAAAATAAGGTGTTAGATTTTATTTAAGGAATACTGCCCAGTAAAATAGAAAAATAGGGTGTTTGTGCTTACTTGCTTGTGTGTACAGAAATGTGGCTGCTTCTAAGTGGAAGGGTGGATGGATATGGGACAGGGAAGACATATTATTGTGTGTACCCTTATATGCCTCTTGAATTTTGAACCAATTAGTGTGTATTTTATTTAATACATGATTTATTAAGAAAAATTAAAAATTAGGGCTGTCAGGGACACGAGGTTACAGCCATAAATACTGAGTCTCTAGAGAATTGACCCGAAAGCTATGAATAGCATTGGTCCACACTCAGCACCTGTGTTTCTGACTCCTGGTTCAGGTTCTTCCTGTTCTCATCTTGGGTCTGGGTGGAGTGACCTGTCAAATGTCACTGGGAAACTCCAACTTCCCTGCCTTACCCTCACTGATCATATCAAAAGGTAAGAGAACCTTCTGACCTGGGGTCATGTTACCTTTCACTTTTCTTTCCTGGTAATGACTGTGCTGTGGGAAAGAGGAGCCTTTGGAAGTGTGGCTTTGATACAGGAAAGCAGACTCCCAAACTGGGGGATAGCATGAAGATCAAGTGCATTCTTGGCTTTGCCCAGGAAGGAATTCAAGAAACGGGGATTGAACAGAGTGAAGCAAAAGAAAGTTTATTGAAGTAACAGAGAAACAGAAGAAAGGCTTCTGAATAGGCCCTTGTGAGTTTCTAGGGTCTGATTTTGTACATTTTACTTTATTTTATGTTAAGTAGAAGGAGAATTATTCACAAGATTTCTGGGAAAGAGGTGGGGAGTTTCCAGAACTGAGGGTCCCTTCCCATTTTAAGCCATTTAGGGTAACATCCAGGAGTTGCATGCATTTGTAAACTATCATGGTGCTGGTGTGAGTTTCTTTTAACATACTAATGGATTGAGTAGTGAGGGTAACCTGAGGTCATTTTCTTTGTTGCTGTTACCATCTTGGTTCTAACTGGTTTTGGCCAGTTTCTCCACTGTCTCCTGTTTTATGAGAGACCTTGGTTTGTGTCTTAGGATTGATTCCTTATAGAGCCGGGCCTGTTCATTCCTATATCAGCTTCACTTTTCTGTTCTTGGAAATACAGGGGGTCTGAAAGGCACAGAGCTTCTCCCTTCTCCACTGTCAGTCAGCTTCATGTGGAGAGTGGGCATAGGTCAGAGATGATACAAGTCCTGCCAGAGACCTGGTACACAGTTCAAGCATTCAGGGTGGTAGTCCCTTTTTTTCCTGTGATGACCCCAGGAACATGCAGGGTCCTTCCACACAGGGCCTGCATTTCATGCTGGAGAATAGGTCTGTAGTAGAGGAAGTTTGTAGGTCCTTAGCAATGAAAACTTTTGAATGGATGTGTCCATTGTTTGTTTTTGGCTTTCTGATATTCTGTTATGGTTCTATACTAACTTATAAATATGTTACAAGGTCTAAGTCATTAATAGGGCAATGAATGTTGGCTGATATCATTTTTGTGCCTTTCATTTTATTTGGCAAACATAAGAGAGAGTGATCTGGACACTGTAACACAGGAAATGAAAAAGAAATGTTGGCAAAGTTAAAACTTTTGTTTAGGATATTTCATGAGAAGAAACAATTGTACAAGATGAGAATGCAATTCAAAGATTTACATTTCACAAGCTCAGACACTCCTTAATTGTTAACACCCACTGCTTCAGAATATTTTGTACCTGAACTTAGGAAATCAGAGAAAAGAGGATAGTAATAAACGTTTATAAAAATATAGCCCAGGCATGGTGGCTCGCACCTGTAATCCTAGTACTCTGGAAGGCTGAGGTAGGTGGATTGCTTGAGCTCAGGAGTTCAAGAGCAGCCTGAGCAAGAGCATAACTGTCTCTACTAAAACCAGAAAAACTAGCCCAGTGTTGTGGAAAGTGTCTGTAGTTCCAGCTACTTGGGAGGCTGAGGCAGGATGTTTGCTTGAGCCGAAGAGTTTGAGGTTGCTGTGAGCTATGAAGCCACAACAGTCTAGCCTGGGAAAAGACAGTGAAACTATGTTTCTCAAAAAAAAAAAAAAAAAAAAAGTTTGTAGAAAGAAGAAGTACAGATGGCCATGAAATGGAAAGATCCTCAGTCTCCTATTTAAGAGGAGAAATGGAAATTAGAAATGGAATCTACACCAAGAGACCATTTTTTCACTTGTTTGATTTGGGAAAACTACAAAGTTTGACTGTTTGAAAGTGCAGAGAAAAAACTAGTGTCCTATAGTCTAGGTGTTCATACAAAATGATACAGCCCATAATGAAGGGAATTAGGCAATACTTAAGAAAAGAAGCATACACTTACATGGTGACCCAATGATATAACTCCATTGAATATTGGAGAAATTAGAGAAATATATGTCTAAAGCTAGCACTTTTTCTTTTCTTTTTTTGAGATAGAGTCTCACTATGTTGCTCTCGGTAGAGTGCAGTGGTGTCACAGCTCACAGCAACCTCAAACTCTTGGGGTTCAAGTGATTCTCTTGCCTCAGCCTCCCGAGTAGCTGAGACTACGGGCACCTGGCACAACGCCTGGCTGGTTTTTGGTTGCAGTTGTCATTGTCGTTTAGCGAGCCAGGCCAGGCTCGAACTGCTAGCCTCAGTGTATGTGGCCGGTGCCCTACTCACTGAGCTACGGGCGCTGAGCCATAAAGCGAGCACTTTTTGAAGTGGGAAAAGACTAAACAATTCAAATTCTTCTGTCAAGAGTACTTCTGAAGACAACTGGAAAAGCCTCCCCCCTGGACAAAAGTGGGTAATTTGGGAATCTGTATGGAAGATAATTACAGTTTATTCAATTACTTTAAATATGTTTAGACCTAACATATTTAGACCTAACTATGAGGTCATAGTCAAAGAATAATAAAATCATTAGTCAACTTTGAAATAGACTGGAAAACCAACTCATTATATTGAAACTGCTAATTAAGTAGAATAAATCAAGTTTTTATATTGCTTTTAAAAATAAAAGTATTTAAGTGGGTTTTCCAACACAAACTTGGTAGTAACCAAATGGTTGACGTGGTGAAGTTTATTTTTGCATCAATTTTCCAGCCAATGGATGCAGAAGGCGTAATAGAGTATTTTGGAAAACTTAAAACAGTTAATTTAGACAATGATCCTCTGTGATAGTTAAGGTTACATAAAAGAATGACAGGCAGTGGGTGGCGCTTGTGGCTCAGTGAGTAGGGCGGCCCCATATGCCGAGGGTGGAGGGTTCAAATTCGGCCCTGGCCAAACTGCAACAAATAAATAGCCAGGAGTTGTGGCGGGTGCCTGTGGTCCCAGCTGCTTGGGAGGCTGAGGCAAGATAATCACCTAAACCCAAGAACTGGAGGTTGCTGTGAGCTGGGACACCATAGCACTCTACTGAGGGCAACAAAGTGAGACTCTGTCTCTTAAAAAAAAAAAAAAAGGAAAAGAATGACAGGCAGATATACCTCTGACTGGAAGTACACAGGAGATCCAGATGATGTTTTCTTGCCAAAACCCAAATGAATCAGATCAAGCCTCTAGAAAAATACATCCCAGTCTATAGAAAATACAGGGAACAGAGGCACAAGCTGCTTATTTTCTTCAACCAATTGTTTAAACAAAACCAACCAACCAAACAAAAATAAAACACACCAGCAAAAAGATGAAAGAAGGAAACCTATAGATGAAAAGAAAAGCTAATGAATTAGCACCTAATTGCAGATTCAAACAACCTATAAAACGCCTCTATGAGAAAACCAAAGAAATTTAAACACTGACTGGATACTTGACAACGCTAAGCAGTAACTTATTTTTTTATGCCTGATTATGGTACTATCCTTATCTGTTTGGAATGAATGCTAAACAATTTATGACTGATAGTATACTGTATCTGGAATTTTCTTGACCCAGCTGCAGTGGGTGGTGCCACAGATGAAACAAGATTGACCATGAATTGATAATTGTTAGCCAAATGATAGGGTTTTATTATGCCAGCCATGTTCAATTTTCCACAATAGAAGACCACATATAAAGACTTTTAAGACCCAGCCAGCAGACTTTCAACTCTCAGTATCACACTGTTTAGGAAGCTAGTTTAGCCTGCTTCCGTAGAGACAGTCCTGCTCTGGATCTAGAAAAGCATCAGTTTTATTTTTGGTCAAGTTCCTGTGAGGCATGTCAGCTGGGAAGTAGAGAATGTGGCCTGTAGCTTGATAAACACAGTTCACACTAGAACATGGCTTTGCATTTTTCTCTGCTTAAACCCTGCACCTGGACCAGTGCCTAACTTATGATAACTTATGGTATTCAAGTGCTGTGCAATCAACTCAGTGTATTTACATCATGTTCAAAATGCTTTATGTCCACATTCTTATATCCCTTCCTAGCCAATAGTTCTAACTTAGTTATCTGCTATTACAGAGCTCCCAGCAGCAGGCTCTATCTACCACCAGGTGAAAAAGGGTGGTGCCGTGAACGCAGTTGTGTGCTTTTGCAGTGTTTGAACAATTGGGCTCAAATTCTACTCATAAACATATGTATTCACAAAGTCTAAGAATTTATGAAATAGTGTTATTCTGGCTTCTACTTC